AGATAGTGAGGTTAAGCTTAATAGCCTAAATCATTTCATAATAACAATAAGCTTTTCTTCTGGATGGTTAAGAACCTAAGTTTGCAGTCCAAAATTAGAGAAAAAGGAGGGCTACAAGGAAAGCCAACATTTTGGCCCTAACCTTCTATGGTCAATTAAGACTCAGGACATATGAGAACTTGTACTGTAACGTCAAGTACCTCGGTACTGTGCCAAATTTTCTGATCAAGAAGATTATGGGGCCAAAGAGGAAAATGATCAATGATGTAGTGTGTGCCTAAGGAGAGTCACATGGAGAGAAAACATTCTCTCTGGCTTTCACAGACAGCACATTGGCCAAGCAATGGCCCTGACTCATCCACATGGCTGACAGTGACAAAGGTTCTACAATCTGAGGTACAGAATTTCAGGATAAATCCTGAGGGGATTTCACTGACCTTCTCAGACCAAAAAAGCTACAACTCTTGCTGCACAGGTCCTGCTTTACCTTGGTCTTAACCATCCATTAGAAAAGTATGAAGACGAAATATAGGAAGTAAAGCCATGCTGTTATGTTGAGCTGTGGGGGACTCAGGTCAATAATTTCTGACATTGCCAGTTAAACAGAAGACCCAATACTATTATGGGCTACTGGACTCTTTTGGAGTATTTTTCTGAGTTTACACACCTATAATATTGAAATAACGGAACTTAGAAAAACAGGGGTATACAGATGAATGTGCATTTTGTATCTGTTTATTCAAGGTGGTTAGGATAGATATATAGTTACATTCTCTTAATGAATAGAATGATTTGTTCTAATGGTGTTTGTAAACAGGATCTCAAGTCCACATCTTGTACAGCAATTAACCACTAAGAAGAATATGTGCAGTGTGTTGGTTGTTGAAGCTGTACTACCGATTTGGTTTGAAACTGTCTCATTGCTATCTGTTTATCAATAAAATTTTGAAAAAAAAACATACGTTTATAATTATTATCACTTTGGTTTGAATTTTCCCTTAATCAATATATAGTGACACTTTTTGGCTCTTTTGGTCACTCTTTGTGTCCATGTCTCACACACTTCAGAAGTCTCCTCAGGAATAAGATGGAAGGAAATCTCATTTGTGCACAGAGGACATTGATGTATAGACACTGATTTTTTTTTCAAAACAGCCTCTAACTTGAAAGAGAAGATGACATTTGTACTGCTTGTTCTGTGACCGACTGCCTATGTTGTATAAGCTCTGTGATGAAATCTCTGCGTTATTTTTCTATGATGCTCTAACAAATATCACTAACTAGGTGCTTAAATAAGAAAATTATATCTTATGCTATCATTGAAATGCAAGTGAAATCCCATTTTCACCAGGCTTGTGTTTTGTGACTCATGATATACTCTAGCCATTGTTATTTTTAGCTTTAAATCAGAAGAAAACCTAAAATATTTCATGAATTAAAAAAAATTAGTACCTTTAATATAAAGACTGCGTGAAGAAATTGGTGAATAAAATTAACAAAAAAATTTCTCACAAATAGTACAAAAGGCTTACAAATATATTAAACGGTATTCAACATATCTGACCACTAAATAAATACAAACCAAATCAGCGCTAAGATTGCATCCTATGCCAGAAAGTATGTCAATTGATGTCAATGATAAAGATATAAAAATATAACAAATACCTTATGGGCACATACATAGTCAAACATAGTCTAGAGTGAATAGCAGCCCTCCTACATTGTTGGTAGCATTGTAAACTAGTAAATTCCCCAAAGAACTAAAATTATGAATTTACTACAACCCAGCTTTCTTTCTTCAAGGTATTTTTCCCAAAGAGCTAATTATATAACACCACAGTGATGCACGCATACCAGTGTTTATAGCTGCACAATTCATAACAGTCAAAGCTTGGAAATAGCCTGTATGTTTATCAACAGAGGACTGAAGGGGTTTTTTGTTTTTGTTTTTGAGGAACCAGGGATTGAACTCAGGCCCTTGTGCTTGCCAGGGAAGGGCTTATTCCACTGAGCCATCTCCTAGGCGTTAACAGAGGACTGAAGGGAGGAAACGTGGTGTCTGTGCACTACAGAGTGCAGCTTGGCACTGAAGGACAACTTTGAGACATTTATAGATAGATGAATGAACCTGAAAAATACATGGTATGAACTTAACCAGACCCATGATACTAAAACTACATGGGATCTTGCATTTGATCAAGATAAAATTTGAAGAAAGAGAATAATAAGGGATAGAGAAAGAGATAAGGCACAGATCTTTTGCAAAAAGTAAAGGTTCCAAAAGAAAATGGATGTGAGTGAAAACGGAGAAGAAGGGATCATAAGTAGAATAAAGTAATGTAATGTACTGGAATCTTATTAAAAAATTGAATATAAACCTAATATATCATTAACTTGAGATAGAACTAATAATATCGAGAATGGGAAAAGACTCCTTAGAGAGACAGATGGGGATGGAAGTGAAGGGGATTAAAGAGTAAGCATCTGCTTTATTTATGTGCGTCCACTTTTCGAGCTGAGTGTGAACTGCACGCACTCCACGGAGGTATTAATAAAAATCAAATCATGAGAGAGCGTGATCATCAGTCTGTTTGGAGTATCTTTGTAGTACTTTATAGAATGGCGAAGGTCTCAGAAATGCAGCATATTTGGAGTATCAGTATCTTTGTTTGGAGTAAATAGTTTTTAGATCAACTGTGACATGGAATAGTAAGTACAAAATTTGGGATTGTGTTTTCCTTAAAAGATAACGACCAATTGTTAATGTTTTATGTTTACAGCAATTAATGTGAAAATGTACTTATTTTTAGCCATTGCAACTATTATTGCATACTGTTATCCATAAGCCAATTACTATTCATCCAACAATGAAATGAAGTCCAAGTTTACAATAAGGTCCACAACTCATGCTGGATATTCTTTAGAAGTTGACGATTGCAAAATGCTAGGTATCCAACCATTTCAGAACTACAGATAATAACCTCATTGCTTTGTAAACTCGCTGGATCTCTGGTGGTGTAATGGGCTATATGTGTGACTCTCATACCCAATATTTTGGTGGTGAGAGATGCGGCAGTACTTTCCAGTTTTGTTCCTTTGCCTTAGAGTGAACCAATTCCTAGGTTGTCATAAATGTATTAATGTGGGCCTCAAATTATTGTTGTAGGAGCATATAATGATAATACATTAAGCCATGGAAATACCATGTTGGAAAGTACTTTATAGAATGGCGAAGGTCTCAGAAATGCAGCATATTACTTTGTTCACAGTGAATAATTTGGAATTTCTGGATATATGTAATAACTGGTTCTTTAGAGATTGGAGTAAATATCTGATTGACAATTGCTTTTTATTATCCACACATGATTCAGAAAGAATGGACAATGCAGTGAAGGTACTTTAGCCACACCGATTCCTGAGTGTATGCAGCTATAATTTCTTACCCTTTGGGGATAGGTGTACTGCCCAATCTCCATCACCAAGTTTGCATCTTCCCGGGTCATTTCAGAAACTTCTAAGAATGAGTCCTCTGTGAAATCCATTTGCATCACCCCAAATGCTATCCATGCAAATAGCCTGTAGATGAAGTTTTGGGACAAAATCCAAGTAGGAAGAGAAGCCTCATGGGAACTTGGTATAAGTATTTAGATTAAAATAATGGTGCCTGCGGGTGAAGAAGTGATCTATAAACATTTCCCAATGTGTGCTTTCAACAGGGACACCAGACCTCAGATGCAGAGCCTCAGGGAAAATAGTGGACAATTTCTCTAAGGACATGGAAGCTGGATGAAATAAATCAGGATCATTAAAGCATCCATATTTGCTGAAATGATAAACTGCATGCCTATCTATTCCCACATATATTTACTTCCCTACTGACATAAGTACCTACATAGAATACAGTATCACTAAGTGATGTTGCAGAACTCATCTTCCTTTACATTTAAGCATCTGTATGTACTTTACAAAGATGCCGCTTTTGAGCATGATCCTACTCTTCTTGAATCTGCCTCTCACCGTGTACAACGTGTCTGATGATGATTGTATTCAAAGCCAGAGCACCAGAGTGTACAAGGATGGAGATGTGGTGATCAGCGGATTCTTCTCCCTGTACACCTGTTTATACTTAACAGGTATGTTTGATATAAAACCCAGCAAGGACTTCTTCATTATGGAGTAAGTGTCTTTTTGCATTTAATTTCCTTTGCTTGATAATCAGAATCAATTATGCCTGGCATTTCTGAATGGAGAGATCAGTATTCTCTGCATTCTTATCCTGTCCTTTCTGTACATACTCTATCAGAATTGTTCATAATTTTGCTAAATTTATGTATTTTGTACAGTGTCTCCCTATGCAGCTCAGATTCATAGTGATCCTTCTGTTTCCAGCCTCCCCAGGGCTGGGATTACAGGTGTGTGCCACCACATCCAGTGTTGGTGGCCGGCTCAGCATGCCTGGTGGTGGGGCCTATGCAACATGTGGTCCAGGGGATCAACCCAGCTTCCTGAGCTCGCCTATGCAGGGGCTTCATCCACTGAGCCACCTCACTAGCCCCCATATTGTTGTTTCATCTTTCAGTTTTGGAATTGTGAACTCATTTTTTTATGTTTCACCTTTTCCTTTTCACAATTAGATTATGAGGTAGAGAACATCTTTCCACCTTATTGTTATTTCACATGCACTTGACTGTACCTAACTTGTACTGCATGGCATTAATGCATGTTCAATATGCATTCAATCCAAGCACTGGATTGAACCCAAGGCTGTAAGACAACAGTAAATATTTATTTCCTAAGGAGCAGCATCTGCAATGTTTCCTTCATTTTGCACAAAATCTCTCATATACCCACTGTGTTTTTTGCTTCTCCTTCTTTGGGAAGCATTGCCCATTATTTTCTCACTGTACATATTTGCTTACACTTGCAAATGTTATGTATGTAGTGGTTTCATCCCAGTGACTCTCTCTGCAAGTGTCTGCACCTCAGGCCAGGACTAGTAGGGCAGTGTCTGTGAAATTCCATCATCTAATTTGTCCTTCTTCACATGCATTTTCTTGGTTTTCAAACATCTCAACATCAGTTCGGCAGCTAACATTATCATTAATACATATAATTTTCATGGAATTATAGAGTCAGAGGACTGTAGGAGATGATTTGTGCTTCTGTGAAGAAGGCGATGTCACCAAACTAACATTTGTTTATGGTTTTTGTCAGATGGTAGACCTACAGTGTTGTCTTTGCTAGTTGTTTATGCCTAGAAAAAGGAAAGATAGCGTTAAGAATTAGGGTATTTTGTCATAGGTGTTTGTAACCATCTCGTATGGATTACCACATACAAGATGTTGACTGATATCTTTGTTCTTAGACAATTTTAATATGTTGGTATGTTTTTTGAGACGTTTTTAGTATGATGCTAACATTGGCTAAAGCTATTGCATTAAAGAAAGCCGTCTTTAGCCACAATTAGCTGTAATTAATATCATGTGTCATTACACTGGTTCCTTACATATTATTCCAAAATACGTTTGATGTTGTTTGTCAATAATTTCTTTATGATAAATATTCCTATTTCTAGTCTGATAAGTACTACATATTGTTTCTTGTACGTAGTAGCGTGTCAGAAAAATTATTTGAAGCCAGAATTAGTGAAATAGAGTCCTTATCTCCTGCAAAATGTAAAGTAACAAATTACTAATGGCCCTTACTGAAAAAATGAGAAAGCTTTTGTGTAATTAGAGAAGAATCATCAGTATGTTAACAGTGCTGTGAAGGACAGAGATGTGGAGGTAGATCCTGAAGTCTGCATGTGCTGATGGGGGTTGACAGTCAAAGTAACAAGGAGGCCAGGATGGAGAATTACCAAGAGACAACATAGGTGTCATGAGCACTGGGCAGAGCCAAATTGAGAGGATTTTAGAGGAAACAATCTGGGTGTGAGATGACACTCTAGGGACAGTAAGGAATAAAAACCTTGTCAGATACCATGTGTGATCAGATTTCCAGGGTATTTTTAAAGGTGCTATAGAGAGTTTGTTTCTCTTCCTAAGGACAGTAGAGAGGACCCTGCTTTCTTTTCCCTTTTCTGTTAGTGTTTCACCTGCTCATGGCAACAGTGAGTCTTTTCCTGACCAGGAAATGTGTAGAATCAGTGACTGAAACTATCTTCCTTTCTATTGCAGGAACTCATAATGTGAAGGGCACCCTAGGCATTAAGTAAAAATCTTTAAGTTTCCATTACAATTCTTTAAAATATCCTAAAGTTAAAATGAAAAGCAAGAGAACTTTGAAAAACAAAATTATATACAGATTTA